ACATTTTCTTGACAACTGTCCCTGTATATGCCTGTATGGCACCATTTAAATTTTCTGCCACAGGTAAAACATTTCCTAAACATCAAACAAAAATTATAAAATAAAAATTGTTGGCAAGTACATAACAGATCTATATTTTGATCTATGAATTCGCAAAGCTCGCAAATATTCAAACGTTCTAGTTAACACAGGTAAATACATGCATTTCAATAATGCATTGATAAATATCATTACTATATTTACCATGTATTTAGTTAATATTCTACATTTATACAGCAGAGGACCGAGGTATCCCAGGATATCGATAAATAAATTCTCACCTTCTATATTTAAAAATATTTCTCACCGATTTCTTGTTTTTTGTTAGCATCAATTCCGCTTTACTACATTGTCTTTTCAGTATATTAATTTATGTACCACTGCTTCTATTCAATAGATATTAAAACCACAAAATTTTAATCCAACTTGTCGCAAATATAAAAGTCAATTTGATACAAATCTATAAACATTTTACTCGCTCATGAGAACGGCGCCATTTTCACAAGCCACTGATCTCAATACAGCAAGTGGGGACACTTTGTCCCCACTTTTGGCTCACTTAAAACATTTTATTCTAGGCCTCTCAGGAGCCGTCACCTCATTAATATGCAGAAACGCGCAATAGGCGAACTAAGAAGCCTAGGGACTAGGCTGGCGAAACAACTTGGGGTGAATCGACTGGGGGCGAATCGACTTGGGGGCGAAACGAAATGCCTGGAAATTGTCTTAAAATGAGTGGTGTTTCATGAGGATTGAAGACAAAGTTTGGAATGCTTTCTACAGTCTACAGTTTATAGGAATTATATGGCAAAGGTCAAAGAAGTTATATAAAAATGTAAACACTATATTATTTATAAAAACACTGGATAGTGTTTAGAAGTTATGGACTCACTGTAATGCTTCTAGTAGTTTAATGTACTGCTTCAACCATATACGCTAATACAGGACTGTGTATTTATATACATCGACAAAATATATATATATATATAGTTTATCCGCCGGATAGTGGATTTAAACTATTTTCGGACCTCGGATAAATTTATCCAACGGATAATGCATTTTTATCCGTTGGATAGCGCTATCCAAGCGATTTTCACTCCGGATAAAATTTATCCGCTGGATGGCGACTTATCCACCGGATAGCGATATATCTACCTTTCGTACAACCGGCCCCTGTGCTATATTTTATAATACAGAATTTTAATATGCCCTTGGAATTTTTTTTGTATGCTGAGGTACGATAGCAGTGTCCTCCAATGTTCGCATTATTTCTAAGATGTATTGCGACGTATATAGGTACCATGGCATATCATCTGACTAGACGAGGTGGGTGGGTAAACGTTTCGCAGCTTTGCAAACTGTAGTGTGCCTCGTTGGAACTTTGAAACAAAGTGATCTCTTGCAAGCATGCTTTCTCTGTTGTATTCATTTTCCTGGTTTTTATTGGCTATTTTTATCAAATTAAGCAGGTAACATTCTTATTGACTGCAAGAATTTTGTGTCATTCGCCATGCACGTGCACAGATGAATACGAAGTAACCTTTGATATTTCACACATGCATGACATAAAACAGGTGACCTTTCATAACTATTCCGCATATTTTAGTTGTGATAACATGAAACTGTAATCAGACCGCTGAGTTATATCGCATTGTCATAAAGTGAGCATTGTCCCATTAACTTAAATTTATATTTTTATATAAATTGGCTTTAACTTACTTTTTTCTGCAGCATATTCTTTTTCAATGACAAGGCATCGGTTCATGATGCTTACATGCGACGGCTTGAATTCAACTAGCTCTTCATAGGAAGCTTCACCCTTCTTATTCAATAATATATATTTGTATCCACATCTCCTGGAGGCAAGCCGTAGTGGAACCTTAACCTCACCGCGTAACAGCCATTGTTTGTCACAATGTCTAAACAAGGAAAGTAAATTTTGCTAAAAAGTTATTATAAACGTATATTTCTCTACCAGATAGTGAAAACAAGATTCTTATGTCGTAAGTTTTCTTGCAAAATGAGGAAGTTAGTTGAAACTGATAAGCACAATACTTAGTTCAAGAGGGAAGGATGGTTTGTGGAGTTCTCTCTCTAATGTTTTAGGTGTAGTGCATACGGGTTTTTCTTAGGATGCAAAATTTCATCTCAGGAAATTGCTGATTTTCATCAATGTTTATATAATATATGAGTTGTTTGATTTCACACATCATTTTTATACTAAACGTGTCGTGATCGATCTATTTGTTCGTGTTACTTGAAAGTTAATTAAACGGTCATATCAGCCATGTCATTTCATTTCATTTCAAACGTGATGATATGCCTGTAATGCGCACTCACGCAATACGCCTAGAAAACTTACATATAGTTGAAGAAACAAACCTAGCCAAATACTTTAAAAATTTATAAGATTCTGAATTATATCATATTCTAAAACAGTCCAACGTTAGTCAGGGTATAAGGTAATATTGCTGATATCATGAGCATTATTTTAAAAAGCTGTTCAACTATGTTAAACACACAATTTTGTTTTGAAATGCACGATTAAGCCAATGAAGTGAGTTTTAGTCCAGCGTTAAAATCAACCTTTAATCTAATTAAAAACTCATCAGATAAATTTCGCCTTCACTTGAGCACTACCTCGTACATGAATTTGTAACCCAACATGGCAGGACGCAAGATAAGGACAAGTTTAAGCCAAAATGTTAACATTCGTTAAGATAAGGTTGCTGCATTTGAAGGAACTTGTTAACCTTATTCAAGCATTTAAAAGAAATTAAGGGTAAAAATTATAGTTTCAACGGATTTGTCGTTCCATTATTTTCCCCTTCGTTTTGGTGCAAAGTTAAAGCGAACAATACAAATTGAAATATTCATAAATATAATATCGAACTATCTCTCAGGCTCGTTTTATTAATAGACTTTTTTGTGCTCTTAATGACCAAGAATAACGCCTGTATTCTACAAGCTCACTCACACTCAAAGAGTGGAGATTCAATCTGAGCTCCCCTTTGGTGTCAATGCTGTTTTTGATAGCTGGAGGGTTAGTGTTGTACCTTACTATGTGACTATGCATGGCATTGACATTCAAGGAAACCTCAGACTGAACCTCCACTCTTTGAGTGTGATTGTGAGTGAACTTTTGGAATACAGGCGTAAGGCTTGACAGTTATTACCAAGTTTATACATGCCCATAGCATTATAAACTTAAGTTAATGAAACAAGCGTTAGGCAAGAGTAAAGTTGTGCAAAGTCTCCTGGAGTAAAAAGGTCGGTTACAAAGGTCAATCTGTGAACCGTGTGATCATACACGTGCAAAGTGCAAGGCTGAATTAACAACAAACCATTGTCAAATCTCTTCCCATCATGCGTGCGGGAAAATAGACCAATCAGGTTTCACCATTTCGTTTTCACCATTTCGTCAGTTTGCTGCTTGGATCAGTAAGCCCACACCGTCACACCCATTGGTAATCTTGCTAGTTTGAATAAACTAGATAAACAAGATGTTAAGAAACGCATCTCTAAGTCAAGTAAAACGTCATGCTCGTTGGATCCTATGCTCACATTTTGGTATTAAATTGCTCAGACGTTCTTCTCCCTACCATCACGAGAATAATTAATCTGTCACTTGAGTCGGGGGCGTTTCCGAAACCTTGGAAGTTAGAGGATGTCCATCCACGTTTTAACCGGTGAGGAATCTAATTTTACGAACTTGCGCCCAATAAGTACTCTGACGTTCATTTCTAAACTTACAGAGAGAACTGCATTTAACCAAACTCATGAACATTGCGTGGTAAACAATCTCTGTGCCAAAAATCAGTCTTCTTATCGTAAATTTCACTGCACCAAAACCGCTCTTCTTCGACTAAAGAACGATCTACTGACTTAGCATGAACAAACAGCAAGTGGCACTGCTTGTATTGCTAGATCTGAACTTTTGGTATCACGGGCTCAGCTCATATAAGTGGTTTAAGTCTTTCTTTAGTAGTCGCTGCCAATTTGTCACGGTGAATGGAGCGACGTCGAAGAAACTTGACCTACAGTATGGGGCACCGCAAGGTTCATGTCTAGGACCTCTGCTCTTTATTCTGTATACAAGCAGACTATTTGATATACTTCAAAGTCATCTTCCTAATGTTCACATGTATGCAGATGACACACAACTGTACCTCGCATTCAAGCCTGATGACACCATAAATCAAAGTACTACATTTATAGCAAAGCAGAGTGCTATTGATGATATTAAGAAATGGATGTGTGCTAATAAACTCAAATTGAATGATGGAAAGTATGAATTCATGATTATAGGCAACAGCTCGCAAAGGTCATTCACACCCTTGGAGTAGGCAACTTCTAACTAACGCCACTCAGTAATGCTCGGTATTTGTGCTGCTGGTTAGACTCGCAACTCAGTATGGTGAATCATATAAATAAATTCTGCAGTGCTGTATTTTACCACTTATATAATATCAGGAAAATCAGGAGATTTCTCGATTATGAAAGCACACATGCTTTAATAACTAGTCGCTTAGACTACTGCAGCAGTCTACTGTTTGGAATACCTGCCAATCATTCGCAGAAATTACAGAGAGTACAAAACACTGCTGCACGGCTCATACGTAAAATTCCACGATTTGACCATATAACTCCTACGCTAATACATCTACATTGGCTTCCAGTGAAATTCAGGATATCGATATACTTCCAGATTTTACTAATAACATTTAAAAGTTATTCACGGACTAGCCCCTAAATATTTAGATGGATTGATCAGCGTAAGAGCACCATCTAGATATAATCTCAGATCTAATGACGAATTATTACTCTAACCGCCAAAGTTCAGAACACTGAAAACTTTGGGTGACCGCGCATTATTTTATATCAGCGGCGCCTAAATTATGGAACGCACCAAATTATAGAACTCACAAAAAAAAGAAAAACCCTCGGCACATTCAAACCCTGGAACGAGTTCAGCGTCGCAGCACGAAGTTTATTTTATCTCTTCCATTTCAAACAGATATTTCATACCCTAAAAGGCTTGTTAAGCTCAACATTCTTCCAATTACCTAGTGGCATGAATACCTGGATCTTGTTTATCTGCAAATTCTGTGAATTTATGAAAATTCCGACAAAAATGTGAAACTAAATTCACCAAATCGTGTAACCAGACGTTCTAGGTCTACATCAGGACTCCTTCTTCAGATTATCAAATCAAAAACAGTAACCTTTCATAACAGTTTTTATATCAGAGCATGCAGAACGTGGAACACTCTACCAATATCTTTAAGAAACTTAACTTTATTGTCTTCGTTTAAACGTTGTCTATTTAATTACTATTTTTTATTAACTTCTAACGTTTATAACCCAGAATTGCCGCAGACATACAAGACTGTTTGTGTCAAATGTCACAAAGCCCGTCCTTTGGATTCATGCAAAATCAGTGGACCATTTTAAAAAATTACTGAAGACACGTCTTTTTGGATAGCTTTTTATTATAATATGTATATGTATGTATATGTTTGTATGTATATTTGTATTTTCAGGTACTCTCATTTGCGTACTTATATAGATACTTTTAACGATATATCTTAAGCATATTTTAGACAATCTACTTTTCATGTAATTATAAATCTATTCTTGTCTTATAATGCGCAGGTGAGCATCTTTCTGCGGAACCTTTATTGCGCAACATAAATTTGAGTAATAATAATAATAATAGGCCTCATTGTGTCACTTGCAAGCAAAAGTGTCAGACCTCTGCGGCAAAGTACTTTCTGGAAATTAAAATATATCGCAATTTTTGGCCATAATGTGTAATTAGCAAACTGTCATAAAACTCTGGACATATTTGAAGAATAACATTCTAAAGATCATGCCAGTGTTGACATTTGTAAGTTCTGTGATAATATAAAAATCAAACAGCAATAAAATGTTATCCAAACTTTTGTGGGAAGATACATTACTAAAAGGAAATAAGAGTTTTGTTCCATAATCATCAACCCCATATGACCGAGGTACTACTTACTTATCGTCAAATTTCATAAAGGCAGAGCTATTAGGTTGTTAAGTAAGTTCAGAGTATGTAGAAATGTATGGAATGGTGCATGCATCCAACAGAACCAAGGTGGGGTTAGCATCCAATCCAAAATGGATCCAATCCAAAATGGCGTTTGTGCATCCAAAACAAAAATGGTGTTGGACGCAACGAAAAGCAAAATATTCTTCGATAAGGCCTTCAAAAGGCCTTCGATACCGTTGAACACCCCAAACCTTTACAAAAACTTTTTCGGCTTCCCTGGCTCTCTCAAGTGCTGCGGTTTGAAAATTACGTATCAGGATGTCTCCAACAGGTAACTGTGCACGTTGCTACATCCACGTCTTTGCCAGTCACATCTGGAGTCCCACAAGGATCGTTGCTAGGATCCCTTTCTCTTCTCAGTAAACATCAATGACTTACTTAAGAGCATATCCACTTCCACTGGGGTTAGTTTGTGACCTTGTGATGCATTGATCGTACAAGAGGATATTTAAGGTCATGGCCAAGGTTGGTCAAAAGAAAAGCGGTTAACCAGAAATGAAACAAATAAAAACTTAATTAGAATTGTAATACCCAGCTTTGCTAAAACTGCAACATACCAGACGTTATATTCTATTGTAAAACGTGGAACGATTTAGGAATAGCTTTCAAATCTGGATTAATATTATATTACAACAATTAAGTCACTGGGCAGTGGGACTATGGAAATATGCAACTTTTAAAAATCTGTATTGTACAAGTATACCACTAAAGACGGCGCTTGTTTTTTCCAAAATATTGATTCTTGAGGTTGCCTGGCAGTTTGCACTAAGAGTTTGTAATTTGTGCGACAATAATATATCGTTTAAAATTGCAACGGAATTTAAATTGAGCTGATACAGA